TGTTTGTTTTTTTTATCTCCTCAACAGATACTACAATTTTAATCATCTCTATTTTATGAAAACATATCTGATGATATTCTAAATGACACATTCAGCAGAATTATAAAAAGAAAGGCACGTTCACCACAGCATAACCTAACATAGGCAGGTGCAGGTCGGTGCTTCAGATAAACAGATCTTGCATGCAGGCCAAGTCAGGCATGAAGCAGGTACCGTTTACCTGATCTGTGGTGAAGCGACACATCTGCGTCAGGCTCAGTAACACATGTGACCCTATGAATGAAAGCCTGAGCCTCCTGGGTAGTTTAGTAAAGACATTGAATGATATAAGGAGAGTGCATTTCTTACGTACTTCTGCTGTCAAGTCGTATAATCTTAAAAGGTTTTCCATGTGGAGAAAAAAAGGCATAAAATTAAAGAAGGAATACTTATAGTCCACCGTCTTTCATGACATACTTTTAGACATACCTTTGACATACCTTTTAGTGTCAAGGTTGGAAAAAGTTTATCTGCGTCAGTGCCTCTTTCCTGTGGGGTTCCACAGGGATCAATTTTTGGAACCCTTTTGTTTTCACTTTATCTGCTCCTTTTGGATTCTATCCCAAGGAAACATGGCCTTTAATTTAATTGTTATGCTGATTGTCAGATGTATATGTCCCTCAAACCAAATAGATCTTGTGCCATTCACCTTCTGTTAAAATGTCTTGATGGCATCAAGGCATGGATGTCTTCAATTCTTTTTAAGTTTTAGTGATCTGAAGACGGAAGTCATTGTGTTTTGCCCTAGTCCTACTGCTGACTCTGATCCTGTACATCTTGACTCTCTTCAGCCTTATCTTAAGCAGTCTGTTACAAATCTCGGGAGGTTTTAGACTCTGACTTTAGGTTTAATAAACAGAATAACTCTGTTGTTCAAAAAAAGCTTATACCAGTTAAAGCAGATAGCTAAGCTTAAGTCAATGTTGTCCAGATCTGACCTTGAAAAACTAGTCCATGTCTTTATTACTACCCCACTGGACAGTGTAACACACTCTATGTTGGTGTCAGTCAGGTCTCCATTTTGCGTCTCCAGCTTGTCCAAAATCCTGCAGGCTCTTAACAGAGCTGGCTGGGCTGGGCTGGGCTGGGTGGCTGTGGCTGAGTGGTTAGAGCAGTGGTCCTCCATTGCAAGAGTTGGGGGTTTGAATCCACCAGCAGTCACATGCCAAAGTGTCCCTGGGCAAGAAATGAACCCTTCATTGCCTCTAATGTGTGTCCCATTGATGTATGACTGTGATCAAGCTCTGATTATTCTCTTTAGAATGAATTGTTCAATTAGCTTTGTAGAGATCTAGTAGAGTGTCACAGTTTACACTGTTTTTTCCTTTTACTCATCACTCTGTTCACTGTTTGACTTTTTCATCTCTGCTCTCCTGGGGTTTTTCCTCATGAAGACTTTTGCCTCTTGTTTCATGCCCTTCACTTCGTCCTGGTTTTTGTCTCCCCTCATGACCTCTTATCATTCATGTACATTTTTGCTGCCACGTCAGCCCTTTTGTTTATTTTTTCATTAAATACTTTTCTTTACTCTGAGTTGTTTGAGTCTTCCCTGCATTTTTGGGTTCAAAACAATACCAGATCCTTACAGAGTGTTGTATGAATGGGTAATTGAGGGCACAGATTGTGATGTAAAGCGCTTTGAGTGTCTTGATAAAGTAGAAAGGTGCTATATACAGTAAGTACAGATCATTTAACATTTAACAGGAACTCGCAGGTTTGCTCATATTACACCAGTTTTATCCTCACTTCACTGGCTCCCTGTACGTACCAGAAGTTATTTTAAAAATCTCCTGCTAACCATTAAGTGCATAAATGGCCTTGCACCCTCATATCACTCTGAACTACTGGAACCATATGTTCTTTCTCAGGCGCTGAGATCATCTGATCAGCTGATTTTGTCCGTTCCAAAAACAAGATTGAAGCTCAGAGGTGATTGTGCTTTTTCAGTCATGGGCTCCAAATGTTGAAACAAACTTCCCTCCAACATTAGGCAGACCACTTCTCTTCCTCTTTTTAAATCTCTGCTAAAAAACACATCTGTCTTCCCTGTTTTTTTACACAGTGTGACTCGATTTATTGCTCTGCGTTTCTATGTTTTTCTTTTGATGCTTATAATTAATTTTCAGTATTATTATTAGTGTTTAGTTTTTTTTCCCCATGAAATTACTCCCATTGATTTTACAGTTAAGCACATTGGTACTTTGGTAACAGCTGCTGTTTAAAATGTGCTTTATAAATAAAATTGTCTTGACTTGACTAGACCAAAATCATTTTATGCTGTTAAATGACATAGTTGCAGTCATTTAGGACAAACTTTAAAAAATAAAATCAAATACAACTTTTGATTTCATTAAATATTGCAAGCTGTCATGCTTGTGGCTGCCATCTTGAATTGGGCTGGCTCCAGAGGTTAGTAAGTTGTAGCATTTATTTGCTTTTCTGGAAAGTTTCAATAAAATGTGTCTACTGATTCATGACATACTTTGTTAACCAATAGACAGAGTTGGTTCTAACTAGTTATGGAAGCTATTAATAGCGACTCCCTTCTCACACTTTAGGTCATTAGGTAAAAAAGTAACAGTGCAATGACCATTTTTAAGTAGCTATGCACATTCAATCATTAATTTCTGTATATTTTAATACAATTTCCCCATTGGTTCATGATTTATTTTGATAGCAGACAGGTATGCAAACACACAGAGACACACTAGTGCAAAAACTTTTTGTCCACCTCTTCATGTCAATGGCGGGCAATGACAACAAACTGGTCTCCGTTTTACAACTGAAAGTTTTTGGTGAATATTTAATGTGTCAGTACTCATCCAAGCGTGCACGTCAGAAATACTACACAGGGCAGCAGATGAGCACACAATGCACTGATGCTAATGTGTGCAAAAGGACAGAAATAGAAACATAGTGCTGTCTTAGTCATCCCAAGATGTGACATGATCTAAACAGACATGCACAGAGTCAACGCTCCATGAAAACACACAAGCAGTACAGTATATTAACTCAGAGGGAGGTCGGAGTGTCAATATATTTTAAGTTATCAGACAATTTAACATCACAGCGGCTGTCCGACTAATTATTTTATTAGCGTAAGTAAACTGTAACCAGCATTGGCCTTCTGCTTTCTAATTCATCTGCACCTCATCATCTCTTCCTCGTGATGCAAAGTCTCACAGCTTAAGGTCTGAATGACAACTACAGTCATGAACTCCTCATCGTATGTGATTACCACTTTCTATGAATATCTGTGTCTCATGCAAGCACGGCTGTTACACAGTGGATGATTATTACATTAAAGAAACAGAGCATATGTGCACGAAAGCTAAGATAAAATAAATCAGCAAATTTCTCATTTATTTTAAATGAATCAACCAAACAGAGATTAGTGCTGCTCATATGGTTTGTTATGCAAGCTGTGAGGGCAATGCAAATAGAGCTGATAAAACGATCTACTAATAGCAAATAATGCAGGTTTATTTTTGTTGCATTAAATCTGCAAATGACAGTGAATAACAATGTAATGGCATGATTTCTCTCTTACTTTGGAAAACAAACACAATCCAGATGAGTTCTCTTCAAGCTTTTGGTGATGACTAACATTTAACAAATAATTTAAAGGAAGAAGTAAGTGAGATCAAAAAATAGCTCATTTAATATGATGCCTTTTATCTGGGTTGAGACCTGAAGTGCACACCCTTACTTAATATTCTGGAAGCAACAATAATTTCAGCTGCATAAGGAAATTTCAATTAAATTCAATTCAGTTTGTTTATATAGCACAATGTCACAACAGAAGTCATCTCAGGGCACTGGACAGAAACATTCCTATATAAAATAATAACTTAACACTATTTATCAGAGGAGCAGACTGCTTTTAGTTTAACTCCATCACATAACTCTCATCCTGAGTAATCATGAAGGTGACAGTGGCAAGGAAAACACTCCCTCATGAAGAAGAAACCTTCAGCAGAACCAGGCTCAGGACAAGCGCCATCTGCTTCGACCGGCTGGGTTTGAGAGGAACAGATACACAATGGCAGGTCAAGAATCACATGTTAAGATAGAAATAGTATCAAATGGAAACTATTCAATTTTAACAATTCATTTAAGGAAATGAGGTCAGTTTGTCCTCTAGTAGTCTAAGCTTAAGACAGCATAACACGCCAACCCTAACTATAGGATTTATCAAAAAGGAAAGTCTTAAGCCCAGTCTGTAAACTGGACAATGTGTCGGCCTCACGGACAGAAACTGGAAGTTGGTTCCACAAGAGAGAAGCCTGATAACTGAAAGATCTTCCTCCCATTCTGCTTTTGGAAACTCTAGGGACCATGAGTAAGCCTGCAGTCTGAGAGCGAAGTGCTCTGTTACGAAGATATGAGACAATAAGATCTTGTATATACAATCAAGCTAGGTTGTTGGGTGCTTTGTACAAAGTAGGTTAAAAGTAATATTTTGAATTCAACTCTGGACTAGATAGGGAGCCAATGGAGAGAAGCTAAAACTGGAGAGATATGATCTCTCCCACTAACTCCAGTTAAGACTCTGGCAGCAGCATTTTGGATTAACTGAAGACTTTTTAAAGAAGTATTTGGACACCCATATAATAAATCATTGCAATAGTCTAGTGTAGCCATGACAAATGCATATTTATTGCACTGTGGACATTGTTTTATGCTGCAATGTATCAGCACAGGTGTGCTCACGGGCAACCCCCCCCCCCCCCC